TGGGAATGCAAATGACAGCCAGGTCAGCTGCCCACCTGTATGACCACCTTCTGGGGTCGAGCTGGCCCCAGGGCCCCACCCTGGCTCTTCCCTGGCTGTGAGCACATCTCCAGCTCACTTATGCCATCCACCAGGGTCTTGTAGTCATTTGTGTGATTTTTGTCCAGGGCAGAGGGTCAGCAGCTGGGGAGGGGAGTGCCACACTGTCTTTAATCTCGGTGCCCGTGAACCTCAGGCAGCGTGGAGTGAACAAACGAATGGATGGATGGATGAATCCACCAGCCCTTGGCCTCAGGAAACAAATGCAGGAGCCGGGGGCCAGCAGCAGTTGTCCCCCCTGCCTGGGGATGTCATCGGGTGGGACAGAGCAGGAGGGGGTGGGAGAGGGAGAGAGGGTTGTTAATGTGATCCTGCACCTGCAGTCACAGCTGGATGCTGGCAGAACTTCACGGGGGACATAGGCTGCACCAGGTGATGCCCGGAGGCCCTCTCAGCTGAGCTGCTGCAGCCTGCACCTCCACCCCCAATGCTGGCCACAGCTGCCATGCTGCCTTGTGCCTCTCACAGAGGCCAAGTGTGCAAACCTTCTCTTTCCAGCACGTCCACTGAGGCCTGTGCTTAGGGCTGTGGGCAGCGGGAAGAGAGAGCATGGTCCCTGCCCGCAGGAACTTTTAGTCTTCGGTGGAGATGGGATGTCCCGTGACATCCTGAGGACCCTCCCCCAACTCTAGTATCAGTGTCCACTCTGCTCTGCACTCGTGTCCTCAGGAAGCTGGAGCCTGCCTCCTCCAGGAAGCCCTCTGCCACTCACTTACCCACAGCCATTCTGTAACTATAGTCTTGCCTTTTTGTTTAAATGCGATCCTACTGTATGTTACCTGTTGAGACCAGATTCTTCCCCTGGGCACGTTTTTGAGATTCATCCATGTCGTGGTATCGGCAGTGCATTCCTCTTTGTCACGGAGTGTTTTCCACTGTGTGGATAGACCACAGCTTGTCCATCCAATCACCCACTCAAGGACATTTGGGTTGCTTCCAATTTTGGGTGATTACAAATAAAGCTGCTGTGAACATTGGCACATGAGTTTTGTGTGGATGTAAGTTTTTGTTTTCCTGGGGAGATACCTACGAGTGGGATGTTGAATTGTCTGGTAAATGCATGTTGAACTTTATAAGGAACTGCCAAACTGGCGCCCAAAGTGGCTGTACCGTCTGCACTCCTGTCAGCAATGCAGGAGAGTCCCAGATGCTCCAAATTCTCTTGCACTGTCCGCGTTCTGTCGTGTAGCCATCCTCAGAGGTGCGTAGCTCATTGTGGTTTCACCTTTCCTGTGTCCGAGGACGAATCATGTTGAGCGTTTCGTTCCTGTGCTTACCTGCCATCCATATCTATTCTTGGTTGAACTGTTTTGCCCAATTTTTTAATCAAGTTTTCTTCTTACTGAGTTGTAAGAGCTCGTTATATATTCTGGATGCAAATCTTTTATCAGAGAAACATTTAGGTCTATGAGCCGTTTCTGGTTAACATTTATTCGTATTAACGAGTTATCCAGTTGTCAGCTGTAGACAGTGTGAGGTAAGGGCAGAGGTCTTTACTCAGTGTGGATGTCTAGTTACATCAGCACCTTTTGTTCAAATGACTATCCTCTCTCTGTGGAGTTACCTTTGCGCCATTGTTGAAAATCCATAAATGTAGGGACTGATTTCTGGACTCCTGTGTCACGCTTTGATTTACATGCCTCCCTGTAAGCCAACACCATGCTGTCTTGGCTGCTGGACCTTTATAGTGAGACTTGAAATCAAGTAGTGAGGCTCCCAGCTCTGCTCTTCTTCAACATTGTCTGGGATTTCTTCGGTCCTTTGTATTTCTTTATAAATTTTAGAATCAGCTTGTCAATTTCTAAAAAAAATGGAAAGGCTGGCTGCGGTTTTGCTTGGCATTGCATTGACTCTGTAGATCAATTTGGGAAGAAATGATACCTTAATGATATTGAGTCTCGGAGTCCATGAACACGGTGCGACTCTCCACCTAGTGAGGGCTTTTTCAATCTCTCAGTGGTGTTTTATAGTTTTCTGTGTACAGGCTCCACACATAGTTTTTACCTCTAAGTATCTCACGGTTTTTGATTCTATTTGTAAATGGTATTTGTTTTTATAATTTCAATTTCTAATTGTCTGTTGTCAGGACAACAGCAGTAGAATGTCCATATTTTGGCTTCGTATCCTGTGACTTTGCTAGACTCACTTGTTAGTTTGGGTAGCTGAGGACTTTCTACAGACAATTTCACCTGCGAATCAAGGTCATTTTACTTTTTGCTTCCCAATCATATAAAAGTATAAAGTAGAAGTTCTCCATGTTTTCCTTGCCTTATTACATTGGCCAAGTCCCCTACCACAGAGTGGAAGTAAAGTGGTGATAGCGGGCATTTTTGCCTCATTCCCAGTCCGTCTTTTGCGACCAAGTGTGATGTCACTGTGGGGTTTGTACGTTCCCTTTACCAGGATGCAGGAGCTCCCTTTCACTCCTAGTTTACTGAGGTGTTTTTTTAAAAATCATGAACGGGCGCAGAATTTTGTCAAATGGGTTTTATTTTTTTCGTCTGTTGAAATGATCGTGTGGTTTTCTGTTTTAGACTGCTAACATGGTGAATTACCTCAATTGATCCTGGAATGTTAAACTCACCTTACTTTCCTGGAATAAGCCCTGCTTGGTTATGTGCATTGTTCTTTTTATACATTGCTGGAATTGATCTGCTAATATACTGTTAAGGATCTTTGTGTCTGGGCTCATGAGGGATATTGGACTTTAGCTTTCTTTTCTTGTCGTGTCCTTGTCTGGATTTGGTACAGCGTTACAATGGTCTCATACAGGAGTCAGGAAGTGTTCCCTGCTCCTCTGTGTCCGCGAAAGTGCTGTGCGATGTCGGCGTTATTTCTCCCTCAAGTGTTTGGTGTCATCCTCCAGCCAGACCTCCCGCCCGGACTTTCCTGCGTCAAGGCTAGCATTGGACCCGGCTGATGGAAGCCTGGCCATGAGGGCTTGTGCTCTTGACCCCCACAGAGATCGGGAGACAAGGCATTCTGTTGTGAACGTGCTGAGTTTGAGAATTTGTGCAACAGACACAGGAGAGGTGCAGGAGGGAGCCGGCCCCACAGCCCTGGAGCCAGGGCGAGGCTGGCAGTGGTGATTCAGGAATGGGCTTAGAGTGGACGCAGTCACCTGGAGGACATGGAGAGGCGGGTAGAGGGGTCCCCCACGGAGCCCTGAGATATCTTGATGGGTATGGGCTGCACGGACATGGAGAAGACTGAGAAGTGGCCAGAGAGGGAAGAAAAGGCCCCAGGAGCCCAGGGGTGGGGCAGGAGTAGGGAAGTGGGAGTCTTGAGGCCAAGAGTTTTAACTCAGCAGCATCCAGATGAGAATGGCCACGAGGGCTAAACGCTACTGAAGGCACAAGAGAAATGACAAGTCCTGCAGGCTGGGGAGGCCCTGGTGACCGCGGGGGCACCCTTTCAGCAGAGTGAGTGTGGAGGCCATGTCCCCAGTAGGTGCCTCTCCTCCACCACCTGGGCTGGCCACCCCTCCTCTGCCTGCAGATGGCCCTCCCCCGTCTCATGTGCACCCTCGACTGCAGACTCTAACCAGACCTCACTGCCAGAAAATATCTCTAGTCCAAGGTCCCAGAAGCTACTTAAATCCATCTATCCCCCCACCCGCCCCAGCCTGGAGCTGAGCGCCTGTCTGCGGTGGTCTGTTTCATGCTAGGGTCCCCCACAGGCAGGGCCCTGAATGGCCTTGAGCAGCTTTTGAGACCCCAGCACCTAAAGACCCTTAATCCATAACCTTTAACGAGATGAGTGGGATGCAATGGGCGGGGGGACACGCAAGGGCCGAGGGCGGCAGGCAGTTGTTTCGAGGCTGTGTCCTGCCTGAGCTCAGACAGGGGAGAAGGAAACGCGACCAGGCCCTCCCGGTGGGCGTTCCTGAGCGCGCACAGCCCGCCCCAGGGTGGCAGGGCAGGGCTCACACGGAGCGGAGGGAGGGCCTTGCGGCCGGAGTGCAGCGCAGACCCCGAAGGTGACGAGGGTCACCTGCCTCTGGTGACGACCTCTCAGCAGGTGAGACCTGGCTCCGGGAGCTCGCTGCCCAGCCACGTGCGGGAGCGCAGGGGCTCGTGGCCGCCCCCCGGGGTCTGGGCCCGTGCCGGCCGCACCTGTCCCACCCGCGCCCCGCAGCCCCAGCCAGAGGAGCGCGGGACCGGCCCTCCGCCCCTCCCCAGGTGACCTCGCGGAGCAGCCCCCCCACGGGGGTCCGCGTGAGGCCGGCCGCCGGGTGAGCGCCGTGACCCGCGGGGGACACCCGGGACACCCGCCGGAGGAGGGAGCGTCCAGTACGGTCCAGAACGGCAGGGTCACGCCCGGCCACGCGCCCGCAGCGCCGCCGCCCGGCCCCGCCCGGCCCCGCCCGGCCCCGCCCGGGCCCCGCCCGGCCTCGCCCCGAGCCCGCCCCGCCCGCCCCGCCTCGCCCCGCCTCCCCGAGTCCAGCTCCCCCCCGCCCAGCGCTCGCCGCCAAGGGGCGGAGAGGTGGGGGGGTGGGTGGCAGGGCGGGCGCCGCTGATTGGTGTTTGCTGCTGATTGGCTGGCACGGGAGCCACTCGCCGCCACCGCCGCTGTCGGCTGCGCTCGTTCGGGCTCGGCTCGACTCGGCTCGGCTCGGCTGCGCTCGTTCGGGCTCGGCTCGGCTCGGCTCGGCTTGGCGGCCCGGCTCGGCTCAGCAGCTCGGCTCGGCTCGGCTGCGCGGCCGCGGACGGACGGGCGGCGTGCGCGGGGGGCGCGGGGCGCGGGCCTCGGCGGCGGCGGCGGCGGCGGCGGCGGCGGCGGCGGCGGAAGCCTGGTCCCCGCCCGCCGGTCGTCTCCAGAGGCGGAGGCAGCGCCGCGGGCCGGGCCGCAGCGAGCAGAGCGGGCGCGGGGGGCGGCGGCGCGGGGGAGGCGCGGGGGCGCGGAGCCCGGAGCCGCCGACCCGGGCCAGCGGCGGGCGGACGGACGGACGGACGCGGACGCGCGGCCCCTCCCTGCCGCCGCCGCCCGCCGGGGCGCCCACCCTGCCGGCGCGGCCCGGAGCGATGACATCGACGGGGAAGGACGGCGGGGCGCAGCACGCGCAGTATGTGGGGCCCTACCGGCTGGAGAAGACGCTGGGCAAGGGGCAGACAGGTGCGCGGGCCGGGGACGCGGGGGCGCGGGACACCGAGGAGGCCGGGCACAGGGGCGCGGGGACACGGAGGGGACACGAGGGGACCGGGGTGCAGGGGAGGGCCGGGCGTCCGGGCCCGCCGGGGAGGCCGTGCCGACGGCGCGCCGAGCGGGCCCGGGGGGAGCTGCCCGAGCGGGGGCTGCGGGCCCGGCAACGGCTCCGGCCGGCGGCGCGAACAATGGGCGGCAGGGGCCGGGTGTCATCGCGGGGCCCCCAGGCCGCGCGGCTGCGGTCGCCGGGCGCGGCCCAAGGACACGGGCGCGGACGGGGGCGCACGGCCCGGCCCGGCCAGCGCCCCTCGTCCCCGGTGCAGGTGCATTGTGCGCCCGGGCGCCGGGGCCCATTGTGCCGCGGAGGAGGGGGCCGAGCGGCGCCCATCTGCCGTCTGCCGCGGCCGCGCTAATAGGCGTGCTGCCCGAGCAGCTGCGCCCCGGGCCGCGCGCCCCCGGCCGCGACCCCCAGCTCCCGGCGGCTGGCGAGCAGGGAGGCCGCCTCACAGGTTTGCGAGCCCCCCGGGCCACCCTGACCGGGCCGAGACCTCTCTCCACCGTGGGAGTGGGAGAGCGGCTGGGCCGCTCAGAGGGCTGGACAGCGCCTTTCTCTCCTCCGGCCTCTGCTCGGAATGTCTGCGACACTGCACTCCCCCGGGGGCGGGAGAGGGAGGCTGGTACTGGGCCCGGCCGCGGATCCCAGGCCGCGGCGGATCTCAGGCGGTGGATCCCAGATCGGCCTACGCCTACGGGAGGAGGGGGCTTCCTGGCTCGTCTTGGTTGTCTTTCCGGTGATCAGGTTAGCCGACAGCCCGGTGGCCAGTCCCCTTATCTGGCCGGGCAGGCGTTCTCAGAGTGGCTTTGTGGGAGGCTGGGCTCAGCCATTTTCTTTCTTCTCTCAGGATGGGCCTTTCCTGGCAGCCCCGAGGTCCAGTTGGCACTGACTGCTCTCCCTCCTTCTCTGGGAAGTTCTTAGACCTGGAGCAGGCAGAGGAGCCGAGGAGGGGAGGAGTAGGGTGCGGCAGGGCTGGGCCCACTGCGCTGGTGCAGGGTGGGGGCCAGGAGGGGGCTGCTCTGGCCGGGGATGCTGCAGCCCTCCTCAAGCCCTCCCGGCGTGGCCCGGAGGTGGAGCCCGGAGGTGGTGTTTGGGTAGAAAGTGGGCCAGGGCCCGGCCTCTCCGGGGAGGGCAGCGGCTGTGATGTAACTAAGGCAGAGAGCATGAAGGTGTCTGCGGTGGTGGAGCTCCCCCACTCCCACTCTGGGTAGACAGCCCCGGTGCCAACAGCTGAGGCCCCGAGGGGCCCCTGGCAGTAGGGCAGTGCCATTGGGAGTGGGGGTGGCTTGGTCCCAGGTTCGAGGAGGAGGTGGCAGACAGCCGGTGTTCAACTGACTTCAAAATACACATGTGTCTTGGGAGGAACAACTGTAGTTGGTGAATCCTCAGAGGGGGAGGGGCCTGGGGCAGCAGAATGCGGGAGGCAGTGAAATAATCTAATTATCGTCCCAATAAAATGTTATTATAAGGAAACATCAGTGTGTAAGTGATGACAGCAATGAATTATATGCAGCTCTGTGTGCCAGTCTCCGTGGGTAGGGGCTGGTCTCCGTCCTGTTCATTGAGTTATACTGTCGTACGGTTAATTACAGGAGGTTTCCACTGTAATTAACAGTAATGAATAAAAAGGATGTGCCGTGTGTGTGTGTGTCAACAAGATGCTGCCACGTGATGTTTAGACAACAGCAGCTCTGAGTGCGCACAAACCAGCAGCCTCTCTCCTCCGGCCCCTCTCCCCTTTGAGTGGAATTGGCTCTTGGTCTAGTTGAGGTCCCCTCCTTGGGGATCTGTCCTCCTATGTTCCTTCTGGTCTCGTTGAGTGCTTCGAGCTGCCACACGAGATTCTGAAGATTCCGATGGTGGGAGCACCTGCTTCCCAGGATGGCTGGGGAGGAGGCCGTCCTGATGGCACTCGTCTCTCTGTCCCTACTTTTGAAGGATCATCTGGAGTTTGGTGGCCTTGTGGGACTTCTGGGTGTGTGTGTCCCAGGCCTGGCCACTCGGTTTGCTGGCTAGTCTTCGGCACCAAATGCCAAGAGAGTTGCGATTTCCCAGGCCTGTCCTTTCGCTCCAGAGATAAACGTCTGGCCTTATCTGGGGGCCAGGCTTTCTACCAGGAGACCTTGGTGGAAGAACGTACTGCTGAATTTCTGTGCGCGACCTCCCTCCCTGGACATCCTGTCCTGCTGGTGAGCCTGGGGTGTGGTGGGGCCACATGATTGGCACCTAAGTCCAGCCCAGCTCTCCTCGTCTCCTGGGTAATAGTTCATCTCCGTCCTCCCTGCTCTTCTTCGCTTGTACTCTGCCCAAGTCCTGTGCAGTGGAACCTGCAGTTGGGAGGGAGACCTCCAGGCGGCTGGGTGGTTGCAGCTGGGCCCACATCTGTCTGACCTGGGCACCCTGGTCACTGTGGCCCAAGCCAGGGCCTTTTGGAAGGGGGGACCCCTGCTCTGCCCCAAAATGCTGCCTTTGGGGCATCAGATGCGGGGTCGGGGCTGCTGCCAGGTGTGGAGTGCAGGTGTGGGCAGAGTCGGCTGGCCGCCTCCCTGGTGACTGGCAGTGTCCAGGTGACACTTTCTGCCGCATCTTTTCAGCGGCCAGCGGCTCTCTTTTGCTTGTGCTGCATCACGCTCAGCCAGCGGCTTCCGTCTCTCATGTTGGTGGGGGCTGGTGTGGCTGTGGTCACACAGCCATCTCCCTTCTGCCCGGGCATCTCCTCTGCACAGCTGTCCTCAGCGGCCTGGTGTCGCCTCTGCAGGCAACCCTGGGAGGGCCTCTGCCCTGGCTGCGAGTGGTTTCTGGTCGAGGGATGGGGCCTTCAGGGCCTGCTGGTGGGAGGGTGTCACTGTGCAGGGTGGAGTCCACTGCCAAGGCTCTGGCTTCTTCCTGATCTTGGAAAGGCTTCTTCCTTGGGGGGCGGGTGTCACCCCCGGCGGGTCCAAGCAGGGCAGGAGGGGTGTTGCAAAGGCTGTGTGGCCTTCATCCTTCCAGCCCCCTTAGGAAACAGCAGGGCACAGCCCTGCCCAAACCAGAGCACAGCAAGCCTGGGTGGGATTCAGCTCCTGGAGGCCAGGAGGACCCCCTGGGGGGAAGGAGGATGCCCAGAGGGGAGGGGGAGGACGGCAGGCTCTGTGAGCTGTTCTCGGAGCCAGGTCCACAGCGGGATGTGGAGCCAGCCCTTGGAAGCCTGTCATCCGGTGGGTGGGAGATGAGGGGAGGTGGCTGGGGTGGCGCTTTCAGGTGAGGAGTCGGTCAGGCTAAAGAGGGAAGAGGGGGGTTAGGGGGCCACCCTGCAGCTTATCTGGTGGGGCTCGCAGGCTGGGGGTGGGCCCAGGGAAGAACCTGAGCTGCTTGGCCAAGGGAGCTGGGCTCCCCCAGGTTCTCGAGGGACCTTTAGGAGGGTTAATGTGTGGTGCAAGCCGAGAGGAGTCCTGGGTTAGGGGGAGCTGGGGGGAGGTGGGAACACAGGTGAGAGAGGGCGGGACAGGTGAACTGGGAGGAGAGACAGGTGAGAGAGGGAGAGACAGGTTAGCGGGGCCAGGGGGGACGTGGTGGAGGGAGAGTCTGGTGGACCCTGGGGTGACCCCTGCCCAGAGCTGGAGGGAGCCCAGCTCAGAGCAGGATGGGCAGGCAGAGCCAGAGGCAGAGGTGGGAGGGGAGGGACCTGGGAGCTGGAACATGAAGTGGGTTTTAGAAAGTTGAGCGGAAGAAGGCAGTCTGTGCGCCAGCAGTGGCCACTGTGTTGGCCCTGGAGATGGGGCGGGAGCTGGCCGAGGAGCCGCTGGGGGTGCCAGAGGAGGGGAGAAGGAGTGAGCCTTCCTGCGTGGGTGGAGGTGCTGGGCTTGGGGCAAGGGGCGAAGGTGGACAGCGCAGAGTGGCCACGTGTGGGCTGCTTGTCTGTCTGATGGTCAGGGCCACCAGCGGGCCGCATCAGCCCTTGCTGTGAGTCCAGAGCCTCCGCACTGTGTGCAGCAGGCCACCTCCGTCTGTCTAGCCCGTTTTACAGGCGAGGAAACAGGCTCAGAACCCAGAGGTTTGGTCCAGGGCAGCAGCTCCCTGGGGACAGAGGGAGAGCCACAGTCTGCTCCGTGCACGGGGCTTGGTCTAAAAGTTCCAAGTAGTAGGATCCTATTCTCAGTCACCTATAGGCAGAGCTCTGGGGGGTGTGGGGGGAGCCCCCTCCCATCTCCCCAACCCCTGTGGAGTGGTTGGAAAGGCCTGTGTGGTGTTGCTCGGCACCCCACCAGTGACTGAGCAGGACAGACGCTGCTCCAGTCCCCCTCTGGCGCAGACCCTCCCTCAGGAAGCCCCTCTGCGGGGCTGTCGACAAGGGCACCTCCAAGTAGAGGTTGCCGGGTAATGGGGGTCATGCCCTGGAGGTCAGGCAGTTTCCTGCAGGTAGGGATGGAAGGGACCTGGGGGTGGGCAGAACCCTAGGACCCTGGTCCCAGAGTCCCCTGCCCACGGTGGCCTGCCGTGGCTCTGAACACCTCCGAGTTTTCCCGAGTCCCGCCTGCCTTACCACTGGCAGCGGCGACAGGCTCTGCAGGAACCGGGAGCTGATTGTAGCAGGAAGGGCAGGCCAGGCACAGGGCTCAGCAGGGGCTGAAGTGCAAGGTGAGAAATGGTCTTTGCAGAAGCGGGTGCTTCCCGGGCGTGGCTCTGGCTGGGGGTTTGTCTACATTGTGGGTGTTCCACAGGAAGCATTACGGCCTGGCGGCCCCTCACCCCCAGGGCTCCCAGCATCATGCAGGAACAGCAAGTCATCTGTGGCTTGGCTTCTGCCCTGCCATGTGCCAGGGTGCAGAGTTGTCTCTAGAACCATCTGGGAGCGGGGTGCTCCCAGCTGCATGTGCAGAGGCAAGGCCAGAGCTTGCCCTCACTTCCCGTGACAAGCTTGGCTGACACTGGCCAC